CACGCCACTGCAGCCAGCCGCCGGCTCTCACCCAGGGCACCGCGGGAGGACAGCCATCATCCCAAGGGTCCCCAGAGCTCTTCTGCTGCTCCTCAACCCTCTCCCGTCCTTGGCACGTCCATCACAGGTGGCAGACGCTGCTGGTCCCACGGCACAGGGCTGGCCAAGCACCGTAACTTCTGCTGCAAAGCCAAACAGCTCCTGCGGGAGCAGCTGGAGGGTCCCGGGACAGCAGTGTGATGAGGAGCAGCATCCTTCAGCTGGGTGTAATTGCCCCCAAAAAGCCCAGCACCAGCTGGCACCTCTGTGCCACCAGCCCTATGGCCACCGCAGCCACACGAATATGCCAGTGCTGCCAAGGCCACTTCCCTCCCACCTCCTGCGCTGCAATCCCAGAGCTGGACATTTTAAGAGCCATAAATGTTCCCACTCCGTTCCCCAGCAGCAGCTGCTGCCCCAGCAGCCCCTGGAGCCGGGCAGCAGAGAAACACCCAGGACAAGGACCAGTCTGGAGGCAGCCGCACCAAATGGCACAGGGAGGGATGCTGCACCTCCCCAAACCTGCCCACAGCCTCAGCAGCCTCCAGGATTAAAGATGTTTGCCCATGTGTGGGAGGCAGGGAGGCTCTGCTTGGCATCCTGTGGGCAAAGCTGCATCCACAGGCATCCTGGAACCTGTGAAGTGCCCCAGCAAAGGGACAGCGGGCCCCTCCCGGGAACCTGCAGCCTTTGGGGCCACCCGAGCCGAGGAAGGCTCCCCGCAGCAAACCAGGGAGCTGGATGCAAAAGATGTCCCCATCCCAGAGCCGCCACGGGAGCGGCTGCCTCCCTGGCACACGGCAGCACACACATTGCCCTGGTTGCGGCAAGGGCCACCCCAGGGCTTGCAGAGTGGCAGGGGCACGGCTGAGCACCGGTGCCCTCATCACCTCTGTCACTGCACACCGGGGACAGATGAGGGCTGGGGAGCCAGCCCGAAGGCTGCCCTGCCCCGGTGCAGCTCCGAGACTCCTCGGGCGGCTGCATGCACACGAATTGCAGGGCAGGGGAACGGGGGAACAGACACAGGGAAACACACCCAGAGGAGGATCTTCTCCCTCACCCTGCCAGGGGACGTGGGCTGCCAGGCCCCCTCCCTGACCCCTGGCATTGCTCTGGACCCAAATCCCATGGGAAGGGGCACCCAGCAGGGAATCCAGATGCACTCCGTGACTTGCAGCATTTTTTTCCTGTTTTCCTCTGCCTGCAGAGACAGGGCGGGATAAACCGTGCACCTGCAGCCCCCTCTCCCCCTCCCTGGAAGCAAGACCCACCGGAGTTCCCTCTCTGCTGTTGAGCATCCTCTCCCCATGCCGTTTTATTCCAGCAGAAATCTTAATTCTATGCAAATCAATCGCCCCATTGCCCACGAGCAGCAACTCCTTCCAACCCCCTCTCCCTCGCCAGGGCTTTGCAACCTGTTTACCCGGACTTTAACCAGCAGCTTCAGCTTGCAACATCGCAGAGTCAGCAGAACCAGCCGGCAGCAAGCACTGAGGAGGTGAAAGACCAAGCGGGGCAGCCCAGACGCCCAGCCAAGGCTCTCGGCTATCAGCTGGATGCAGCGGAGCCAGAGGAGAGAGGATGTCCTTCAGGGAAGGTCACTCTGCCCGGCCCCAGGGAAGGTGCTGCCGGCGGGGGATCCCGCTCCTGGCACTAGGAATGGCTCCCCCCCTGCAGCGAGCCTGTGAGTGCCCCGGCTGCCAGCAATCCCTGCAGGCCCAGCGAGGGAGAGAAGGAAAAATAACTGTTTGGCAGCCACTTGGCATGGATTTCCCAGAAAAAGTTTAGCTCTCCTTTTTTGGAGGGGCCAGCAGTTTTTTGAGGACACGGCCGTAGCCCTTGGGCACAGCTGGGGAGAGCTGGCAGGAAAGGGGAAGAGGGTTTTTGGGGACAGCGGGAGGGCGCTGCCCCTGTGATGGTGACGCAGCGTGTGATGGCATCGGCGCACGCAGGTTCAGCTAATGACCTCAAACCCCATTAGTGAGCAGCTTCTGGGGACACCACCAGCCACCCTGTGGCCAGCCCGTCCCGGGGACCCCAGCTCCGGCACCCAGGACAGGGTGGGTGCTGAGGGCAGGAGGATGCAGCTGCGATGGAGCAGATGCACAGAGCCCCAGGGGCCGACACAAACCAAAGCTGCGCAGCCACTGCCACCCCCTGCAAGCCCCTACCAGGAGGTAACGTGCCCCAGAGAGCACCCACTGCCCTGTTTGGGAGCCACAGAGGGGCAGGAGGTGGCACTGGCTCTCTGGCACTCCTGCAAGAGCATCCTGCTCCTGCGGACGGAGCAGAGCAGCAGGTCTCTGTGCAGCTCTGATGAGCAGCGGGCACCTGGAGAGCAATTTCAGCCTCTCCATGTTGAGGGTAATTTCACCTGCAGATACACAAGCACCTGATTTCCATACAAAAAGCTCCTTTTAACTTCAGATTTGGCAGGATCCTTTCAGGTCAGAGGAAATTATTCCTAAGGGCCTGGAAGCAAAGCAGCAGAGCTCTCACAGGCCCCATGCCTGCAGCTTGCCCCGCCTGCCTGCTGGGCTGCTCAGGGCGGTGGGAAGGCTCCGACAGGCTTCCAGCTCCTCTCCAGAGCTCCGGCAAAAGCTGAGCCCTGCATCGCCCCCTGCTCGGAGGGCACCCGGCCCACTTGCAAAAGGTGCAGGTGCCTGGGGTGAGATGAGCAGCCGAGATCCGCGACACAGCCCACACGCTGCGGGCACAGCAGGCAACCCTGCCAGCCTCCTGGGTGTCCTGCTGGCCGTCCCCTGCCTCACGAAGGGACTCGGTGCCCTTCCCCACTAGCCAAGGTAGCCTTCAGAGCTGGGGGATAAAAAACAAATAAATAACCAAAAGACCAGCAAGGGTGCTACAAAACGGGGCGGCAGAAATGCCCTCCTCCAGCTCATCACAGTTCTCTGCAGCCCCGGTGCTGCCCTGGCAGCAGCACAGACCCCCTCTTGGCAGCCAACTGCTCTGCTCTGGAGCCCCTGCCATTAACAAAACCCAGCCAGGGCGGGAGCGGAGAAACCCCACCACCACGCCTGCAGCGGCGAAACGGGTTGAACGGGCTCCACCCTCTGCACATCCCACGGCGGGCCATCTTGTGAAACCGGCTCAAGGAGCCCGGGCACCTCGCTGCGGACGGCGGGGCTGGCTTTCGGCAGGGCTGGCACCGTGCCCCTCGCCAGGGGGGGGGCTGTATGCATGCCACAGCCACTTCCCCAAACCAGACTGCCAGAAGATTACCCGCGTTTTGGTTAGAAGGGAAAAAAACCACGTCCTGTGTACAGGCCAGCCCTCCTCTGAGAGCGTCCATCGGCTGCGCTGGGGCCAGGGGCCCTGGAAGGCCTCCTACCCGATAGGGACAAGGCCAGCGGGGGACACAGGGGTTCAGCATGTCCATCAGTAAATACACACGTGGCAGCTTTCGTCACGGGAGCACGCTAAAGCCAGGGTGGCAAAAGTCTGGTCCCCCACCTCGGGTGGGTAAACAGCCCCGTGCAAACAGCGCTGTAGATAATGCTGTAGATGGGATGGAGTAATTTGTCCCTAATCTTACTGGAACTGTCCTGTTTCAACAGGCCATCCTTTCACAACCTGCTCATTCATCTCCCCTTTGCATTTACTTCTCAATGGGCCAATATTGCAAAAAACCATTACTGTATTTTAAACTTCTTGGCCATGAGTATGATGGCAAAAGCCATTTCCCTTTGCTCACAGTCACAGCATCATCTGCCTTCGGTGCTGACTCCACCTTTGGGGACTGTCAAGGTCAAGTCCCCCATCCCGTCTCAACTCGCCTTCTCCCTGCTGCCCTGCGCACCCCAAGGTCCTGGCTCCGTCACCGTGAGCTGGCTCCCAGCCAACCCATCACCCCACTTCAGTCACCTCCTTTAAGTGTCCAAAAATATTTCTAAAGACGAGCAACAGAGAGCCAACATCAGAGCCCAGGGCTGCTGGATGCCTTCCCCAGCATAGCCCCGTCGCTGGA